GATGGGAAATTTGGCTGCAAACAGTACAGAAAACGAAGTCAAGATCAGGGAGGAAGGAGGCATCAAGGCGATCGTGGGGGCGATGGAAGGGCACAAGGGCAGCAAGGAAGTACAGCAGCAGGCGTGCTGGGCGATGGGGCACCTGGCAACCAACAACGATGACAACAGGAACAAGATCAGGAAGGAAGGGGGGATCAAGGCGATCGTGGGGGCGATGGAGGGGCACAAGGGGAGCAAGGAAGTACAGCAGCAGGCGTGCAGGGCGCTTGCAATCTTGGCTGCAAACAACACGGCAAACAAGGTCAAGATCAGGGAGGAAGGAGGCATCAGGGCGATCGTGGGGGCGATGGAGGGGCACAAGGGGAGCAAGGAAGTACAGCAGTGGGCGTGCTGGGCACTTAGTAACTTGGCTGCAAGAAACGATGACAACAGGAACGAGATCAGGGAGGAAGGGGGCATCAAGGCGATTGTGGAGGCGATTGTGGAGGCGACATGGGAAGCAATGGCAGCAAGGAAGTACAGCAGCAGGCGTGCTGGGCGATGGGGCACCTGGCAACCAACAACGATGACAACAGGAACAAGATCAGGGAGGAAGGGGGCATCAAGGCGATCGTGGGGGCGATGGAGGGGCACAAGGGGAGCAAGGAAGTACAGGAGCAGGCGTGCAGGGCGCTTGCAATCTTGGCTGCAAACAACACGGCAAACAAGGTCAAGATCGGTGGAGGAAGGGGGCATCAAGGCGATCGTGGGGGCGATGGAGGGGCACAAAGGCAGCAAGGAAGTACAGCAGCACGCTTGCAGGGCGCTGGGAAACTTGGCTGCACACAACGCCGATAACCAGGTCAAGATCAGGGAGGAAGGGGGCATCAGGGCGATCGTGGGGGCGATGGAGGGGCACAAGGGGAGCAAGGAAGTACAGGAGCAGGCGTGCTTGGCTCTGGGGTACTTGGTTGCACACAACGCCGATAACGCCTTCAAGATCAGGGAGGAAGGGGGCATCGAGGCTATCGTGGGGGCGATGAAGCGACACAAGGGGAGCAAGGAAGTACAGCAATGGGCGTGCTGGGCGCTGGGGCATTTGGCAACCAACAACGAAGACAACAGGAACAAGATCAGGGAGGAAGGAGGCATCAGGGCGATCGTGGGGGCGATGGAGGGGCACAAGGGGAGCAAGGAAGTACAGGAGCAGGCGTGCTGGGCGCTGAAGCACTCGGCTGCACACAACGCCGATAACACGATCAACATCAGGGAGGAAGGGGGCATCAGGGCGATCGTGGGGGCGATGGAGGGGCACAAAGGCAGCAAGGAAGTACAGGAGCAGGCGTGCTTGGTGCTGGGGCACCTGGCAACCAACAACGATGACAACAGGGTCAAGATCAGGAGGAAGGAGGCATCAGGCGATCGTGGGGGCGATGGAGGGGCACAAGGGGAGCAAGGAAGTACAGGAGCAGGCGTGCTGGGCGCTGGGGCACCTGGCAACCAGCAATGCCGATAACCAGGTCAAGATCAGGGAGGAAGGACGCATCAGGGCGATCGTGGGGGCGATGGAGGGGCACAAGGGGAGCAAGGAAGTACAGGAGCAGGCGTGCTGGGCGATGGGGCACCTGGCAACCAGCATTGCCGATAACCAGGTCAAGATCAGGGAGGAAGGGGGGATCAAGGCGATCGTGGGGGCGATGGAGGGGCACAAAGGCAGCAAGGAAGTACAGCAGCAGGCGTGCTGGGCGCTGGGAATCTTGCCTGGAAACAATGCGGAGAACGAGGTCAAGATCAGGGAGGAAGGGGGGATCAACGCGATCGTGGGGGCGATGGAGGGGCACAAGGGGAGCAAAGGAAGTACAGCAATGGGCGTGCTTGGCGCTTAGTATCTTGGCTGCACACAAAGATGACAACAGGAACAAGATCAGGGAGGAAGGGGGCATCAAGGCGATTGTGGGGGCGATGGAGGGGCACAAGGGGAGCAAGGAAGTACAGGAGCAGGCGTGCTTGGCGCTTAGTACCTTGGCTGCACACAACGATGACAACAGGAACAAGATCAGGGAGGAAGGAGGCATCAGGGCGATCGTGGAAGCGATGAAGCGACACAAGGGGAGCAAGGAAGTACAGCAATGGGCGTGCTTGGCGCTTGCAATCTTGGCTGCAAACAACGAAGACAACAGGAACAAGATCAGGGAGGAAGGGGGCATCGAGGCGATCGTGGGGGCGATGGAGGGGTACTCGTGGGCTCCAGGTGTTCTGGAGAAGGCTTTTGAATCTTTGTTGACACTGGCTTCCACTTCAAGGAACAGGGTAGTTGTTGTTGTTGTTGGTTATTCATTCACACTTTTCTGCAGGACTACATGCGACAGAAGCGCGTGAGATCCTGTGTATCTTTTTTCATGGATGAGTTTCTGCAGAATGCTACCATCCAGGATAAAGGGAAGAGATTACTTGCCTTGTTGTTACTAGATTTTTGATTTTGTGGAATGAGACACATGCAACATACTCATGCATGCAATTTCTGCAATAAAACAATCAATGTGTGTTCAATGCAGTTTTGGTACCGAGGCTGCACAACTGTCGCAGATCGGACCTTGTCTTCCTGTGATCCCTCGATGTTTTCAGAAGTTGGATTCTTTTGGAGTCAAGGAGGGTTCGGTTGGAAGAAATTTGATTGTTTGGAAAGGATGGGCATAAGAGAGATTGAGAAGCCGGGCCATCGTGCTCTTCCACTCGTTGTCGATATCGGATAGCTCTTTCCTGGTGCGGTCTATCAGGTCTGATCCTGGGGATTTTGAGGGGGGGAGATGAGCGCGTGGTACTTGTTGACGGTTTCTACGGACAGCCTCAGGCGGCGCAAGAACTCATTTCAGCTGAGCTCAGTTCAGCTCAGCTCAGCTGAGAAGTATGAGGAGGAAGTGTTGGGGGTCGAGATTTCCTGCATGAGGGTAGAGAGCTGCTTGTTCTTGAGCTTGATAAGGGAGCGGGCGGAATGGATTCAGTTGTTTCGTGTTATACTCTGGGAAGACAACCTTCCAGAGGGATCTCTTCTTGAGGATTCGGTTCATCAAGGACACTCACGCCGCAGTCAGGGTTAGCTAGCACGGATCATCTGGTGCCTACTGTTGCTCCTGTCGCGGGTGAGGGTGAAGTAGATGCAGTCGAACAGGCTGAATCTCTTGTCTGGAACAGGCCATTGATTGACCAAGTTCAGGAACAGCTCTCCCACGAATGCTTGTGAATCGGACCAGAGTCCCGGGCCTTGGCCGGCGTCGCCATCCTGGGTGATGACTCGTGTCGGACTCCCGGAGTCCGTCCGACATGGCAGTTGTGACTCAGAACTTGAAGCCCACTCCACACTGTCACATCAAGTTGATCGGACACTGATTCGCCGCGATTCGCGGCGCCGGGACTATGACTGCGGGCCTGCGCCGGCCCGGTTCAACGGTTCAACGGTTAGTCACTTTAAGTTAGCGGCCCAATGTTCTCAGTCACTGTCGGTGGGGCCACGGAACAAGCCGCCGCCCGGCAGAGCCCCGGCAGTCGCCGAGCCTCGGAGGGCAGGCGCTGGGAGGCCTCCTCGGGGCTACTACGGCCTTCAACGGCTCCCGGGCCCAGGCTGCTAGCCTCCTGGCTAGCCGGCCTCCGGGCCGCGGGCCCGGCCCGGCCGGCGAATCGGATCATCACCCGGCCTTGTGCTAGTACTGAGGGGTAGGGGTGTTCCTCCGGGCTTCAAAGTACCCGTCCTGCCGCCGTTTCGAGCATCATGATTTTTGCTCCTACCCCTATTTCCCTATGGAAACGTCAGTATAAGGACTAGGTGGGGTGGTAGCTGCTCCAAAAAAGGGATGGAAAAAAAAAGTCGAGGCACCAGAAATAGATCCTCCCCCGACCCACCCTACCCCATCCGGGATAGACTGTTGATTCAGTTTGAACCCTCGTGAGATCACTGATTCGATCTCTGAATAAGGGAGGGGGTGGGGATCAATGATCACCCCTCTTTTGACACTGATCCATCAGTAAGAAATATTGGTGGGTGGTCTGTTGTATAGGGTGATTTCCAACGAAAGAGAGGATATCGGGGTAGGGGGTGAGGGGTGGGGGAGAGGGGTGGGGGTATATATACAGGAAGCAGAAATTGACGCAGTAAGCGCCATGTACGTATGGAGGAATATGAGAAGATGATCTGTTGCATGCTGGAATGGAAATGGGGATCTAACGACCAGGAGGGCTTGGAATCATGATGCTTGAATGTCTTCATTGTGTCGGATCACAGAGAATTGTCACGTCTTGTGTTGATGGAGATGCACTTGGGAAAGGACATGGTTTTCTGCGCAGTTTTCCTCTTTGAACGCTCACTACTGTTCCCTCCACCCTGATCTTGTCAATGAGATTTTGTTGCGTTGATACATATCGTTATGTACTCACATTCGTATCCCGCATTCTCACCAGCTTTTGGCAGAATGTTCTCCGTCCTCGAGTCTGTTGCTTTTGACACCGGCTATGCTGGCTCCAGCGGCATTCAGCCCCAGTCCTGGGTGAATGGCAACGGAACCTCCTACATCTACTTCGGATCCGGAGAGTTCGATGGCCAGGGCTCTGGACACGACTACTACGGCACCGTAAGTTGCTTGTTCATGCGCACTGCGAGTCTCACCTTGTTTGCAGCTCTACATGCCCTCCACCGGCTACGTCAACAACTGCGATGGAGGCCGCTCCCACACCTACTGCGACTACCGCCAGCAGTAAGATGCTCAGTAAAAGCCTTTAAGACAATTTAATCCAGACTGCTTCTCTTGTCTTCTCCGCACACTGATCATCCGAAAGCGCTGTGGTGCCATTAGTCACATGATTGACCTGACGTTAATCTCTCAACTATGTGTTCATCACTTTCATGGAGTGTCTCAGTCAACCGTGGTTGTGTGCATATGTTCCCTGTATACCACTGTGCGCTTGCTGCAAAGAATACATTCATCCTGTTCATCACAGGAATGATGCGCAACAAACATGATGGGAGCAGGTTGGTGTCAGTAGTTTTTATTGTAGCACAAGAGACAGAGCACAGGCTGCTGTCATACAGTTCAGGTCAGAACCACTTCACGAGTTCACTCTAGTTTCACACGAGGTAAGCACTGTTAGCGTTAGAAGTACAGGAGAAAAAGCAGCTTTTTCAAGTCTTGCGCGCGATCTCGGAGAGGCCGATGATGAGGCCGAAGTCGTCCTCTGCTTTCAGGTCCTGCAGGCCCGCGCGATGATCCTTCCCGCCAAACCTGCGCGGCAGAACATGTGAGATGGTGGCGGCTGAGGAGAAGGAAGGGGATGATGATGATGATGATGATGATGATGATGATGATGACGACGACGATCACGACGACGACGACGACGGTGATGGTCATGAAGGTGGTGGTGGTGGCGATTATGATGATGAGGAGGAGTAGGATAGAGAAGCTCACGAGGAGTCGTCGACCAAGCAGCTGTAGTCCTCGAGCATGTTGGTGTATGCTAGCGAGTTGAAGCCGGCGATCGGCGAGGCAGGTGCCTCCCTCCCGTCCTGTGGAGGCACTTTAGATCGCTGATTCCTCCTCTGCTCCCTCAATATTCCTTCGGTCCCTCCAGCTCTTTCCTGTCCTCCTCTGGTCCCTCCAGCTCTTTCCTGTCCTCCTCTTTCTCCTCTACACCTACACCTCTTTGTCTGCTCTACCACCCCTCATCCACCAGTCGATCCCCTTGCCCCGCTCCTCGTTCTTTCCCTCCTCCTCACCTCAGCGTCGTCAGGGGAGGGTGAGGGATACTCGTGCAGCAGCGGGAGCCTGCTCACCCTCTCATGGGCAGAGGTCGTCCTGCTCGTGTGTGTCTCCTTCCCAAAACACTTGAGCATCTTCGTCTCTCCTCCTCCTCCTCCTCCTCCTCCTCCTCCTTCCCCTCCTCGTCCACGTCCTCGTCCTCCTCTCCCTATCCTCCTCCGCTCCCCCTCCTTCACTCACATAATGATCATCCAGGACAAAGTCAGCCGCGCAGTTGTCCTTGCCAGAGCCATCGAAGTTCTCGTCCTCGTTGGGCTCGTGCGGCGTGCCCTCGTCCTCGTGCTCCAGCGCCAGCAGCGAGTCGTAGGCATGCAGCGCCTGCTCCTCCCCCACCGTGGGCTGCACGGAGAAGGTCAGCACGAGATGGCGACGACAAGCAGCAGACCAGATCCATCGGGTCCTTGTTGAAGTTGGAGGAGGTCGAGGAAGAGCCCGCGGCCTCTGCGTGGGAGTAGTGGCGGGCGAGCAGCTTGGCTGATGGTGAGCCTCGCCGGGCGGAAAGGTGAAGCTCGGGTGCCTTTGAGCAGTTTTCAAGAGAGGAGGGAGCAAAAGAAAAGAGAGAAGCAGGAAAGGGAAGCCACGAGGGGTCCGAGGAGGAGGAGGAGGAGGAGGAGGAGGGGACAAGCGCACGAAACAGAACAAAGCAACAAGAGGAGGAAGGGAGAGGGGAAAGATAAGGACACTGAGGGGGAGCGGAGGAAGGAAGGTACCTGCCCCGGTATCTGGACGATCTTGAAGGAGACGTAGCCCTTGGCCATATCCTCTGCGATCTCTCCTGGCAACGTGAGCTCGACCTTGAGCGATTCGTCTCCTCCTCTTCTCCCGCCCTGCATCCCGTCCAGCAGGTTCGGCATCGGGATCACATGCGTGACCTCCTCTGTCTCCTCCCTGCCACCATGCGCCGCTGGCCCAGCCCGTCAGCTCCTCCTCCTCCTCCTCCTCCTGGTAATCTTTCTTCTCCTCCTACTTTTAGTGATCCTCCTCATTGATCCTCCTCCTTCCAGTAATCCTCCTCCTCCTCCTCCTCCTCTCTCACCTTTTTGCTCCGTCCTCATCTCAAGATTCTGCCTGAGTTTCTGCTGGAGGATTTTCCTCTCGAGCACACGGCCCTGCTTAGACTGCGTTTAGAAGCGAAGGGGGGAGAAAGCAAGGCAAGCCATGCAAGGACAGAGATGATGATGGAGATGATGTAGATGGTGATGGTGATGGAGATGATGATGATGATGATGATGATGATGATGATGATGATGAGGAGGAGGAGGAGGAGGAGGAGGAGGAGGAGGAGGAGGAGAAGGATGATGATGATGATGATGATGATGATGATGATGATGATGATGATGATGATGATGATGATGATGATGATGATGATGACGATGAGACCTTCGGGATTCCATTGGCATTCAGTCCTCCTGTATGGCTCATGGAAACTTCATCATGCCCTTCAGCTCCTCCCTCGTGAGTCGCTCCCATGGTCCTCGGGCTGCGTCCACACATCAGCACCTGCTGCCGGGTAGGCATCCTCCTCCCGCTCCTGCTCCTGCTGCCTCTACCGAACCACCCCTATCACTACCACCTGGTACCCCCTTGTGCTCAACCCTCGCTTCGCTTCCTGCTCCTCCTCCATCACCTCGCAGCAACTGTGCTCGAAGTAGACACGAGGTCGCTGATGTCAGAGTCTTCCGAGAGTTCAGCCTCCTGCTGCTCCTCCCCTTCAGCGAGACACAAGAGACGAAGCAAGCTCACGTCTCCCTGCTCGCTTGCGGCAGAGCGCGGGCGGTAGCTGAAAGCTTCCAGTCAGCAGAGCAACCTCCTCCTCCATCTTCCATCGCTCACGGCAAGGTTCTCCTCTCCTGCTCTAAGGCAGCTTTCTTCTCTTGAAGGTGAGCTCGCTCCTCTTGCTGCAAGACAAGTTTCATACCCCTTCCTCCTCCTCCTCCTCCTCCTCCTCCTCCTTCTCCACCTTCTCGCAAGTCGCCAGCGCTGCCTCGAGCTTGTGTAGGTGCTGCCAACAGGTTCTCAGCGGGCTGACTGTCTGCTCGTGCTTCCTTGCCTTGTCTATGGACTTAATCTTCCTGTGAGGCCACCTGCAGTTGCTGTTTCAACACAAATCGCTCTCCTTCTCCCCTTTCCCTTGCCCCTCCCACTCCAGATCCCTTCCTGCTACCATCCTTCCTCCTCCCCTTCCTCTTCCTTTGCCATCCTTTGTCCTCCTCCTCCTCTACCTGTAGATGCCATATTGACGGCAAGCCTTCTTCAGCGAAGTCACACATATGCCCAACTCCTTTGCTACAATCTTGACAGCAATCAATCAGAATCGCAGGAGGAAGGAAGGATGGGAAGGCAGCGTCAGAAGAGACGAGGAGGAAGGAAGGGGAAGGGGAGAGTACAAAGAGCCGTAAGGAGAAGAGAGGAGCGGGTCAAAGGGAAGTGAGCTGAAAGAGGGCGAGGGAGACAGGGAGGAAGAGTGGAGAGTGGGAGGGAGAGGGCGGGAGTGACAAGGAGGGAGTGACAAGGAGGGAGTGGCAGGAAGAGGGAGGAAGGAGGGAGAGGGCGAGGGGAATGGGGGGGGAACGGGAGGAGGGAAGAGCTGTTACTTTCTCTGGTAGGTGGAGGAGCTGGACCAATTCTGCATGGGATACTTCTTTCAATTCACGGTTCCCCGGCATCGTTTGCTCCTCCACCTACCACGGCGGAGATCTACGAGCAGAATCATCGTTAGCAGACGTCAATCATGGAGGGAGGAGGAGGAGGAGCAGGAGCAGGAGGACGAGACGTTCGAGGCATTTCCCAACCTTGTCTAGGCCAAAATGGTCGGCATGGTGACCATGTGTGACACGTTGATGGTCATGGACTACCAACAGGGTCAGAAGGCTCTCCCTTCCCACACAAACACGCCCGAGGCTTCCTTCCTTTCTACCGCAGCTCCACAACAAATCCCTACCGCTCGTCTAACACCACACGCTGTGCCTTGCGCGCAGCCCTCGAGGTACTGCGGATCCTAAGTATTCGTGCTGCTTGTGCTCTTCTAGCTTTGTTCTGGGTGGCGTGCAATCGAAACAAGGAAGTTGGCGTGATATGCGGAATTGAATATCTGAGAAGAGGTTGCCTAGCCTCAACGTCTCTATTCCCAAGAGCAAGCAGAGGTGAGCTGATAGTTTGATCAAGAGGAAGGTTTGATTAGCGTAAATAGGTAGATGGGACGAGAGGAGCATCGAGGAGGATGAGAGGGAAGAAACAACACTCTTACGCCACAAACAAGCTTCGTGGTTGGAAACATGTTCTTGACGGAAAGAGTACGAGCATGGGCTAATCTCTCTTTGTTTTTCTCTGCACCATCCTAAGTCTTTCTTGCTTTTGCATGCTCGATCACGAGCTCTCGCTCGTTCTCGTGCTCCTTGCAGCTCCCGGCATCGTCCGATTTTACGGATCTCTTCGCCACGCCATTACGGGACAAGAAAGGGGGGGGGGGGGAGGAGCAGCTACGAAAGGTGGGGTGATCAGCCCATAACACAGGGGTAGTCTTGGGATTCGGGGTCCTCGGTGTCGGATGCCCTGGTAGGGGTACTTTTACGAAAAAGAGTGTTTACGCCAAATATGTGGTACGAACCTTGCTGGTGCAAGTTGTAAGATATCGAAAAGGAGTACTTTCACTATCTAAACTCAACTCTTCGCATTGAACTAAACCATTTAAAATATCCTTATATATATATATTGTTTTTATTGTCCCCTGGGAGGACTACCCCTACCTTCATCCAAGCCACTCAAATGTGGCCAGCCGGTACTCGATTTGAGAAATTTGTGATGAATAAAACTGAACTATTTTAAAATATATAGAAATATTTTCATTCTTTTCCCAAAACTTCAAGGGGCATTGGCCCCTGGTTCACCCAACAGCCGCGTCCCTTGACACGTCTATAGTCAATATATATTCAGTATTTTAGTCAATACTGGATTAGATAGTTTAGCGATATAGTCAATTGGAAGCACTACCCCCCTGGGAAGTACAACTGTCATAGTCAATATCTGAGGAGTCAGTAAATAATAGAACGAAATGAATTGTTAACTAAACTTTGATATTGAGCTTATCAGTAACTAAAACTTGATGTACAAAAGTAGATCCAACCGATGTACCACTTTGAATTACCGTACTAACTTTTAGTTATAGCAACGCTTCAGTGAAACAGTAGTACCCGGCGACCAGCAGGCTGTTGGGGTGGTACTACATTGCCGGTCAGACAGCACTGCAGCACCACCGTAGCCTACTGCAGTGCTGTCACTGCCAGTTCGATTTGAGTACGGCTGCTGTTGATGATGCTTTTATCACGAGGACGGCAGTAAAACAGCAGTAAAAAATTCATTGCCATGTCAATCTAATTAAGCCGTAGTGGCACACTGCTAATCAACTCCACTCAGTCAGTAGTAAGGCAAGCAAAAATGTTCTTCGCTTACCCGAGATCTGGGGCTGCATTTAACGAAAACCTTCACTGAATTGATCTTCAAGAAGTCAGGGAAAGGATCTCTGAAAGGACTGGCAAAACGGCGAAAGGTGCTATGGAGGATGACCCCTGGCGGCTGAGAGAGCCTCTTGTATGGGTGGTTTCCCTAAATCTTCAGTGGTGAGAAGAGGAGCAGAAGCTTGTGAGAGGCGAGAGCTCGCACAAGCCGAGTTCGCTTGTGGAGCAAGGAGCACTACCCCTAGTCCTTCCCTTAGCCTATATAAGGATCAGCTAGAAGGGCTGTTCTCGCATGTTGTACGTCACGCTTATCTAGCATACGTTGCTGGTAAACTAGATATCACAGCACTACTATCAGAGCTCTTCTGTAGACGTCTGCAACCTGTAAGGCTTCGGGGGGTGAAAACTACACCTTTGTGTGTGCTCCAGTGGAGGTGCCTTGATGACAAGAAATAGATCCTGTTCCTCTCAAAAGTGTCCAAATACCCCCCGAGCCTCACATGTCCAAGTACAAAACTTTTATGTGAAACTTTCTGCATGATGTTTTCGGACCAAGTATGCACTGTTGCATATTTATAGACTATGAGATGTTTTCATAAAGACAACAGCAGTTCATCTCGTTATCTTGCTGAAAGCGTTTTGCAATTTAGAAGAAATCGATAACCTGGAGCGCATCTCACCAAACCTCAAGATACCGTGCCATCTCTGGTGTGACTTCGCCTCCTTTCGAATACTGGGTTGAGCGAGCCCTGCTGAGGTACTCGTTTTCCCAAAGCGCTCTCTCCTCAATCATGTCGGACTGGAAGAGCACAGTGGTGTCGGGGGCGTCGTAGTCGGAGGAGTCCCGGAGACCTTGAGCCCATGCGCGGAAGTCGATCTTGTTGGAGGAAGTCTTCTTGTCCTTGAGCATGTCCTCGTCTGCAGGGGAGGAGTCGGGGAACCAAAGGCCTGTCTCTTGCATGCTATCAACCGATTGGATGAACGAGCGCTACAAGGTCAGAGTAGCTCTCAGTCCCGTGAGATGCGGGGGGGCTACGAACAGGGCAGTTAGAAGAGGCGGATGGGGCGTGCAAGAGGTCGGATATCACGGGGATCACGATGCACAGGGAACTGAAAATCGTGGTCACGAGGGCAGCACGATCCGATTCCTTCGAGAGACGGATGGCGCTTCCGAGGGGACGTGGTTTATAAGTCTTTTTGCCAATAAGGGTCTTTTTGAGGTTTCTGGGTTTTAGAGCTGTGGTAAAGTGCAGTGACCATGCCAAGATCATGCGGATGGCCTCTTCATTCCTCTTAAAGTACCAAATTTTCCTTTTAGGTTTCCACGTAATTAACATGGGGTTTTATAAAATCCCCAGATCTTGGTACCATAACTGTATCATTCTATGATCTGCCGGTACCGTTGGGAAGGTTTGTACCCAAATTTCTAAATCATTGTACCAAGTTTACCACATTGGAGCACACTAGCTTTTTCTATATTTGAAAAAGGCGGACCCGACCCTCATAACTACTACCCTCCCATGAAGCGAGCAATTGTACCCCCTGGATATTCACCACCCTGACACACTTCGTTACGATCTTTATACACCCATCTTTTTATCTTCCAAAACACCGGTACAATGTGAGCACCCACCCCTCAAAAGAGTTGATAGGCTAGAAATGAGCCTACCCACCACCCCTGTTCCTGTAGTAAAACAAAAGGGCCAGTAGTATATAATAAACTTTGAGTTCCGGGCTTCCCACCACAACGCTCCCAATGCACTGCCACAGTTGCCCGATGTCTGAGAACCAACACCCTGACATGATGAAGGACAAGAAGACTTCCTCTAACAAGATCGACTTCCGCGCATGGGCTCAAGGTCTCCGGGACTCCTCCGACTACGACGCCCCCGACACCACTGTGCTCTTCCAAGCCGACATTATGGAGGAGAGAGCGCTTTGGGAGAACGAGTACCTTAGCAGGCCTCGCTCACCTATGCACAACAACATCGAGGTCACTCCGAATCCAGAGATGGCACGATATCTTGAGGTTTGGTAGGAAATAGCTGTGAACTATTTATTCTTTTGTACAGATGTAATAAATTTGAATTGGACCTTACCTCGAATAGATTTATTTGTTACTTTCAGAGCTTGCAATTTGTATTTCCTAGCTACTGAATGAGATTGTTGGAAGATGGATCTTCCACCGTCATGTCGATGAACGGACGTTGGGTAAGTCCACTCCAATGTTGTTGGCAAGAGACATGCAGCAATCAAAAGCATGCAGGACAAAAATGCTAGTTGCCTGCTGTGCTCGCTGGATGTTTCCTGGGCTCTGTGCACGCTAGACAGGTGTTCAGCATCCATGTATGAAAGAGATCTCTCGGAGTTGACGCTGCAATTGCTATGGCAGGAAGCAAAAGAGTGCCTTGACCTGACTCGCAACTCGGCAAGGTTGAACAGATCTGCTGAGGGGCACTGAAATGATTCCAAATTTTTGAGGACTGACAAACACATCAAGTCACAAGCTCTGTCACAGGGCCAGCAACTCATCGAGGCTCACTCAGCACTGCACGGTCACAGCCATCAATTATTACCATGCGAGGCGAGTCGCCGGTGTTGGCGGTGACACCGCCGACCGGCCTGACTCTACTTCAACTCGGAGCTTCACCGTTAACCTGACTGGGAATCAGTAACTCACAGGGGCCGCGTAACAACAGCACTGCGCGGCGGCAGCCTGCCAGCCTCCGAGGCTACAGTCATCACTGACCGGGCGTATAGGACAGCAGTCACTGAGTCGCCGATTGGGTTTGGTTCTCCCTGTCTTTGCTCTTCTCGCCGTTTGGCCTGTGCGACAGTGTCAGGGTCACGCCTCCTCGTCTCTCCTGATTGTCCTCGTTATGAGTTTTAACTTACTTGGACGGTCACGTTGAAAGCATGATTAATTGCTACATCAGGTCGTGTAACTTAGGCTTATAAAACTTGAAAGTTTTAGCATCTTTAAGTCGCTCAGTCCTCTGAGTCCGATCTACTGCTGCGCGGCCAGCCTGAGCCCCCTGAGCCCCCGGTTTGTGACCCGTGACTCTCAACCGGGTCGGACAGTTGACTCAGTGACTCGGACTCCGCCGGCCCGGCCCGCGTTTCAAGTTTAACCGTGGAGGATGATATTGCCAACTTGCTAGTTGAGTATCACGAGTACGGTGGTGGCAAATCAGTCCGCGGTCGGCGACTCTGAGCTAACCGTTGAACCGTTGGGCCGTGACTGCCACCTCGGAGTGCCTCAAGTTACTAAGAGTGACAGCCTTGACTCGAACATACTTGACTCAGTGAACTTAAGCGGGCCCGGGCCGATCGGCACTTTGCGGCCCGGGACCCCGGCAGGCAAGTTGCCCCGGGCCGCGGCGCGGGACCCGGCCCAGTCCAGTAAACTTGCCAGGAAAGGCCCGGCATTTACCGGCCCGGGGACAGTCACTAGTGTCAGTGCCACGAATTTGCCTTTGTTGGTGTTTGCTGAGGTCAGAGAAAGCGCGGGAAATAGAGCATGCGCTTAGGGGGGGAGGGGAGGGAGCAAGGAGGGAGGGGGGAGAGGGGAGAGGGAAAGGAGAGAGGGACCAACACCGAGATGTATGCAGAGATTGAGACCAGAGCAATGTCGACGAGGGAGGAATAAGTGAGAGAGCATATAAGATGGCAAGGGTCATGGAAGGTTCGACAGCGCTTGAGATTTGAGAGCCGAAAACATGGCAGCGAGAAGTAGAGGAGAGATGATTCTCATCAGTCCAGATGCATGGCAAGTGTGTTCTTGTCCAAAATGACGGTATTGAATGTGAACAGGACGGAGAGCAGGCAAAATGTCAAGCACAAAGATTTTTGGTTGAGAGGAAAAGACCGGTCTCTACGATGCCTATTCGGAGATCCAACCGGAACAAAGGCGATGTCGCTCACTACAGTGATGCTGAGCTGGACGATGAGCGCCAGAGGAGAAGAACGCGCCGAGGTCTGAATGATCAGGCGGAGAAGGATAAGGAACAAGAAGGGTCGGGCGCCGACGCCATGGCCGTGGATACAGGGAGTCCTGATCAGACAGCAAGCGAGCAGCTTCCTTCTCGAGCTACAAAAGTGTCGGTGAAGCAGTCAAAGAACGAGTCTGCTGGGAGTATGGAAGGTCAACGCAAGTGTGACATGTGCGTCCAACAGGACTTCGCTGTGTGCCGCTGTAAAATATGCGACGTCTTCATGTGCGATGAATGTGGGAAGTTTCACTCCAGGAACAAGTTGACGTACCTGCACCCCACGGAGACGATGGAAGAATTGAAGCGAGAGCGTGCAAGAGCATCGAAAGGATCCTCCGAGAATGAAGCTGAAGACAGTGAGGATGTCGTGATAATGGATGATGACAGCAATGTGTTGGACGAGACATGTAAGATTGATGCTGCAACTTCAAGGACTGCGATCTCCAACAAAGAAGATGGGAAAGAAAACCAAACACAGCCCTGTGATGTCTCTGCATCAGGCGATGATCAAACATCGAAAGTGAATCCAAACAGTGCCAAACCGGCTGACGCAATCGATGAATGTTCAAGCAAACAGCAACAAGCAAACGCAGCCTCGTCATCTGGTGACGATTACTACCATGACACTGAAGATGATGACTTAGATTTGCAACGAAATGAAAGAAAAAGTACTAGAGGGAAAACTTTGCAAAAGAAAGGCCAGAAAAAGTCGATGTCTGAAAGAAACCAGCAAAACAAGAAGAAAACGGACTCTGAACGATCGAACAGTTCCAAAGTCTGCTTCAAATGTAAAATCAAGAATGATGCGGAATTGCTCGTTTGCAAAGGGTGTGATAAAGTTTGGCACAGGACATGTGCCAAAGTAGAAGAAACAAAGACATTGTCAGACAGTTGGCGATGTGAGAAGTGCAAACCAGGTAAGAATGGGACAAACAAGATGCGGCGCGCCGTTGTCGAGTCAGAGAGTGAATCTTCGGCAAATGAGGAGTCCATTGGTTCGTCAGACTCTTGGAGTGATGCTGAAAGCACAATGATGGTCGCGGAAAAAGAGCTCTCCACGACAAGTGGAAGGGTCACGAGGTCAGAAGCCCGAAAACTTGGGGTTGGGGCCAACAACAAGGCAAAAGATCAAAGTCAGGGGAAGCAGGTGCAGAAGAAAGTGCAGAGAAGAGCATCAATGACTTCGTCAAGCTCTGATGAAGAGTCTGAGGTCCGATCCTGGATGCTCCATCCCCATTATAACCTTCCCGTGACATGTTTTCAGCAGGAGGATTCTTCAGATTCAAAGCAAAACAAAGAGGAAAATTCTCGGCCCATCAAGAGGAGGAGATTACGAAAGCCACACCAGCTCAGGTAAGAGTGCTCCTCCCCTCTCCATGTACCCTCCCTCGCTCTCCTCTCTTAGTCATTCCTTGATCTCTTGCCCCCTTGCCAATACAGCCTGACTCTCTGCCCAGCACCGATATGATTCGAGCGGCTGAAGAAGGTCAGAAAGCCGATCAAATGCGCAAAGAGATGAGAGAAGAATCTGCTGAGAATGTTGGAGCTCCTCTCGTGCTCAAGGCATGCAGGGAAGGGGAGGAAGACGTCGCACTTCCTTCTTGTCTATACGAAGAGTTGCAGGCGCATCAGAGGGTCGGGGTGCGATTCATGTGGGAGACGACGATGAGGGAAGGGAAGGGTTGCATCCTTGCTCACTGTATGGGGCTCGGCAAAACGTTGCAGGTCATATGTGTCCTTTATGCGGCTCTGGTGTCTAAATCAGAAGAGGGCAAGAAAAAGACGATCTTGATTCTAACGCCAGTCAACACCTTGAGAAACTGGGAGGCGGAGTTCAGGAAATGGATCCTTCCAAGCATGTCTTTGCCGGTACGCGTGTTGATGGATGCTGGATGTCAGAACAAGGCTAGGCTGGCTTACATAGAAGAGTGGATGGAAGAAGGAGGAGTGATGCTGATAGGGTACGAACAATTTCGAAATCTAGCTCTTGGGAAGAACGTCAGAGGGAAGGGAAGCGTGAAATTGAAACAGCGACTTGCGGAATGCTTGGTAAGTGTCCTGCTTTTTTGACACTCAATTTCCCTTTTTCCTGATTCGTTTCCTCTCGGTCTACCTTGGACATTCTAGCTTAAGCCGGGGCCTTGGGCTGTCGTTTGCGACGAGGGCCACGTGCTACGGAATGAAGATTCAGGCCTCTCGTCGACTGTGCGAGATATTAGCACACTGAGACGGATTGTGTTGACTGGCACACCACTGCAGAACAACTTGAGAGAGTACCACTGCATGGTTGACTTTGTACGCCCTGGACTGCTGGGAGAGTCAAACGCCTTCAAGCGAGATTTTGTCAACCCAATTCTCCACGGACAGTGTATAGATGCGCAACCAGACGAGGTGAAGCTGATGAAGAAACGATCCCACATCCTTCACAGCCTCCTCAAGTGTTGTGTGGACCGAGCGGACTTTAAGGTGAGTTTCACAGTCCGGTGCTGCTCTGATTCCTAGCAATTGACGGTAGATTGCAGGTCCTTGCTCCGTTCCTCAGCAAGAAGTACGAATTCGTTATCGCAATCAGACTTTCAAAACTCCAATCTGATCTGTATCAGAAGTACTTGTCGGACGTGCTTTCTATGGAAAGTCCGGAAACAGGAGGGTTGTCATCAAAAGTCCGTCTATTCGAAGCCTACCATAGGTTGCGATTATTTTTTCGATGCGCCTCTTAACTAGAATCCAGCCTATCCAAAGTTTGGACCAACCCCAAGGTGCTTGAGATGGAGAAGAAGGCGGAGGAAGATGATTATGATTCCATGGAGGATTTTATTGTTTGGTCGGATGAGGAGAGGTTAGTTTTTGTCTATGAATGTCCACGTCTTGAATTCTAAAGTTGGATGGGACAGCGCCAGCAGCAGCAGCACTGAAAGTAGCAGTGGTGGCAAGCCGAAGAAAAGATCGAAATCGAAGAGATCAAGATCGTCTCTTTCAGATGAAGGTAGCTCGAATGACTGTTGATTATCATTCTTCTCAGAGCAACTCATCCCAGATCCTGTAAAAAGCTCAAGTTCAAAGGAAGATAGGAACAAACTGTGGTGGGACGATTTCAGGTGAAAGACAAATCTTCCATCCACTGCTGAATCTCTGTCTGCAGAGAATCAGTTGAACAGATCGAACCTGAGGCAACGGGCAAGTTCTTGTTCCTCAAGCTCCTCCTGAATGAAACCTGCGAGATGGGAGACAAGGTCAAGACCTTCTTGAATCTCAAGGGACTGAAAGTGACTCGATCGCCAGGTCTTAGTGTTCTCTCAGAGCTTGGGGGTCTTGGATCTCATCGAAGAGATGCTTAAGATGGCTGGCGAAAGGGGAGAGGGGCTCAAGAATTCTAAGGGAGTGTACAGACCATGGCGGAAGGGAAGGGACTACTATCGCCTTGACGGATCTGTTGGGGGGAACAAGAGACAGAGCGACATTGAGAACTTCAATGCGACCAAGAAGGCAAGGCTGTTTCTCATCTCTACCCGTGCAGGAAGCCTAGGAATCAACCTCTTCTCCGCCAATCGGATCGTCCTGATGGACGCGTCGTGGAACCCCAGCTTCGACACGCAAGCGATCTTTCGCTCCTACAGGCTCGGACAGGAGAAAGAGGTCTACGTATACAGACTGCTAGCGCATGGTACCATGGAGCAAAAGATTTACGGGCGTCAGATCACCAAACAAGCCCTGGCATCCCGCGTCGTTGACTCGGAGGAAACAGGGAGGCTCTTCACTGACAATGAGCTGAAGGCCTTGCTGGAGTTCAAGCCAGGTCCTGTTGCCGACTCGTTTGACTCACTCGACACGGCGACCAACACGCCGAAGCAGGAAGCGCCGGCCAAGGAGGACAAGGAAGACAAGGAGGCAGGCCGGGGGTAGAAGACCTCGACGAGAACTCACCGAAGCAACGGAAGAAGCTCTTCGATATGAGCAGTCTGCCTCCTGAGGATGTGGTCCTCGCTCGCATTATGACTGAGATCTCGCCCAAGTGGATGGTGGGCTACCATGAGGCAGACTCGTTGGTGGAGCGAGACACTGAGCTCTCCAAGGAGGAGATCGAGGAGGCGTGGGAGGAGTGGTCAAACCGGGAGAAGCGAGCGAGGGAGGAGGCGGAGAGGATCCAACGAGCCAACGACGAGGCAGCACGAGCAAGGCGGTTCCAGTTCGAGCTCCAGCGGAAGATTGCGGAGTCTCAGCGGCTGCTCCAGCAGAATCAGCTGCAGTCCGGGATGATCTTCAACTCTCAGATGCCCCCCCGGCAGCAGCACTTCCTCAATTCCGTCCCTTCTCGCCCACCACCAGTGGAGATGGTGACGTCACTGTACATCGTTCCTCCCAGAGAGCAGTGGATACTCGAGCACAACGGGGTCAAAGGGCCTTTCATCGCGATCCTCCCGCAAGGCTACGAGAGGACGAGGATTGTTCGCATTGACGAGAAGCTGAGAGTCGGGGACAAGTTCTCAGTTACCATGCCCTCCCGTGAGTTGTGACGGGGGGCGCGAGTACTGAGATGGGGCAGGTGATGCAGCGAGAGGAGAGGAGGGAGAGGAGGAGATGGTGGTATGGTGTTGTATGTAGATTGAATCCCCACTTATCTCAACGATTGTTAACTTCTCTTTCCCAACTCCACTCCTCCCTTGTCCTCCTCCTCCTCCTCCTCATCATCATCATCATCATCATCATCGCCTTCGTCATCATAATTTCTTTCCTCATCTGCCTCCTGGGCCATTCGCTTCCACGGCAACAGCACAGCATCTTCTCCTCACAGCTCCCATGCTCGGTAGCTCCTCCCATGATGATGTGCGCGCGTCGAAAACAAACCTGCGCCATGGAGGAATGAGCGACGGTAGAAGCAAGATGCCCAAGGTGAAGAGGAGGGCTCAGAGGAGAGGTGGGAGGGGGGGGAAGAAGATGCAAGCAGCAGCAGCAGCAGCAGCAGCAGCAGCAGCAGCAGCAGCAGCAGCAGCAGCAGCAGCAGCAGCAGCAGCAGCAGCAGCAGCAGCAGCAGCAGCAGCAGCAGCAGCAGCAGCAGCAGCAGCAGCAGCAGCAGCAGCAGCAGCAGCACAGGAAGAAGAGGAGCAGGAGCAGGGAGAAGGAGCAGGAGGGGGGTGAGGACGAAGCATTCAGAAAGCGAGAGGGAGGGGTAGCGCTTGCACCCTCGGTTCGTCCATCTGCCTTTGGTCGCTCCTCCGATGAGAAAGGCTCTGTCAAGACGTAATGAGGGACTGGGCGAGGGAGGAAGCAGAACCTCTGCGCATGGCTGCTAATGGCGAAGCCGTACCACTCGTCCAGAGGGAGCTTGCAGACCTTGAGGAAGTAGAGGAGGAACGAAAAATGGGTAGGAGAAGCAGGAGCAGGAGCAGGAGTAGGAGGAGCAGGAGCAGAAGGAGCAGGAGGAGCAGGAGGAGCAGGAGGAGCAGGAGGAGCAGGAGGAGCAGGAGGAGCAGGAGGAGCAGGAGGAGCAAGAGAAGTCAAGAACCCAGTTCATGTTGAATTTCAAGACCTTGGTGTACACGCGCTGCTCTGTGTCGAAATGCAGGACGGATTTGCCCCATAGAAAGACGAAAATCTTGTCGCCTGCACTCAAAATTCACTGACGATAGAGAAGAAGCAAGTACTAGTGACAAGTGCAAAGGAAGAGGAATGGAGCAGGAGGAGGAGGAGGAGGAGGACGACGACGACGAGGAGGAGGAGCAGGAGCAGGAGCAGGAGCAGGAGGAGGAGCAGGAGGAGGAGCAGGAGCAGGAGCTGGAGCTGGAGCTGGAGCTGGAGCAGGAGCAGGAGCAGGAGCAGGAGCAGGAGCAGGAGCAGGAGCAGGAGCAGGAGCAGGAGCAGGAGCAGGAGCTGGAGCTGGAGCTGGAGCAGGAGCTGGAGCTGGAGCTGGAGCAGGAGCAGGAGAAGGAGCAGGAGCAGGAGCAGGAGCAGGAGCTGGAGCTGGAGCTGGAGCTGGAGCTGGAGCTGGAGCTGGAGCAGGAGGGAGGGGAATGGTGTAACCGAGGGTTGCGGCACTAGCGTAGGAAGCGACGGGCATGTCTGGCAAGGAGCACCAGCTGTCTTTGCTAATGTCATAAACCTCCGCGCTCTGAGAGTACTCTCGTTAGGACGGAGAGGACGAGGGACAGTACAGGTAGAGAAGGAGCAGGAGGAAGAGAAGGCGACTGAGGTGGAAGGGAGGGAGGGAGGGAGGGAGAGAAGAGAAGAGGGAGGGAGCATAGGGGATTGAGTGACCATCCCAGTGAACAGGGAGAGAATGGCAAGGAGACAAAAATCGGAGACATGGGAATCAAGGGAGAGGAGGAGGCAGGAGGCAGAAAGGAGGAGGCAGGAGGGAGGAAGGGGGCGCGGCAGAACCTTGATCTCGTACTTGTCGTCGCTTGCCTGCGCTGCTGGGTCACAACATCGATGTCTCCCTCCCCTGCCCTCACCCCTCCAAACACGAAGATGGAGCCTCGGGCATGCGTCATGCCGTGCAGACGACGGGGAACGAGCATGTCGGCGCAGCGGGACCAACGATCCTATAATAGCGCTGAGATGCTGCGTAGTCGAACATGCTATGCACGATGAAAGAAGGGGCGGGGGGCGGGGGAGGGGGGGAGGAGCAGGAGGAGCAGGAGCAGGAGCAGGAGCAGGAGCAGGAGCAGGAGCAGGAGCAGGAGCAGGAGCAGGAGCAGGAGCAGGAGCAGGAGCAGGAGCAGGAGCAGGAGCAGGAGCAGGAGCAGGAGCAGGAGCAGCAGGAGAAATGCAGGAAACCTCTTGCGGATCGTAGGACTCCATCGTGGGGGTACATTTCGATCCATCCTCCCATCCCCCGCTCGCAAAGATTCGTCTCCCATCCGAAACAGCAGCTAGTGCGTGCCGCTGATATCATCAACATCATCATCATTATCAACAGCAACAGCAACAGCAACAGCAGCAGCAGCAGCAGCAGCAGCAGCAGCAGCAGCAGCCACCACAGCAGCAGCAGCAGCAGCAGCCACCACAGCAGCAGCAGCAGCAACCACAGCAGCAGCAGCAGCAGCAGCAGCAACAACAAAATTGTCCTCGTCATAGTCGTCGTCGTCATCATCATCATCTCCATCTCCCTCCATCTCCTCCCCGGTCTCCACCATCATCAAAATCCACAAAAGTCTTGTCTTCACCTTCGTCTGCATCGGAGCAACAAACTTCCACTCTCTCTCCTTAGGATCAAATTTCTCGCAAGTCCCCAAGTTTGACTCGATCCCTCCACCCGAAAACGCAAAAATTTCTTGACCTACTGCTGCCACCCCATGGCTGAAAGCGGAACAGGACAAGAGCATAGTAAGTACAAGTGCCCGTCTCCTCCTCCTCCTCCTCCTCCTACTACTACTACTACTCCTGCTCCCGCCCCCCAACCTCCCCCTCACCTTCCTCGCTGCTCCAACATATGCGGATATTTCTCCCACGTTCCACTGCGAGAGGAGAAAATCTCCACCACGCCCAGCGTGTTGCCACGATCCCTTCCTCCTACAACGTAGATGACCACCTCCTGCTCCCGCTTCTCCTCCTCCTCCTCCTCTCCTTCCTTGCTCGTGCATGTAGTCGTCCGGATGTGCTTGAATCTGCGGGAGCAAGCTTTCACGACGACGAGCAGGAGGATGGGGGAGCGTACAGTTGATTCTTTGAGGGGAACGCAGCTTTGCACTTGGTACACTCATACACGATGGCGCCCTCCTGCCCGGTTTGTTCCATCCTGACAGATGGCACAAAGGATGCCGAGTGACAGCAGTGTAGGAGGAGGAGGAGGAGGAGGAGGGGGAGGAGGAGGAGTGACTTGATCTTCTTGGCTGGGGGAGGGAACTCCTGCTGTATGCTTACAAAACATGGAGCAACAGATGGAAAAAATCGCAGATTGAAAACATCGCGCAAGAACGCTTTCTTACTCCTCTTGGATTGTATTGCACATCAAGTGCCTCATTCCTTTCCTTACATGTTCCTCTCTCTAACCTGACCTCCTGGCTCTCAATTAACACCATGTTGCATCGACATCAATCAACATCGATCCTTTCCCATGCCAAGTCAAATATGCTAAGTTCGTCATAAAAAATGCGTGCAGACTTCTTCCTGCTCTCGTTCTTCTCATGGGTATGATCTTTGTCATCACCCCTCTATCCTTATCTCGATCAACGTCTTCATCATTATCTCCATTTTCCACATCGATATCGGCATTATCATCATCATCAACACTTACATGATCAACATAATCAATATCCTCCCCTCCCCTCCTCCTCCTCCTCCACCACCACCACCACCGGGCCACCTCATCGGCTTTAGCGCTCCTATTGCATGCACCTGGCACCTGGCCCTCTCGTGAACAACAACCTTGTCAACCGCATCTTCAAAAAATATAGTTACGGCCCGCTTCAATACAAACTGAAACAGGCGCCTGGCCGCGCAAGGCATGACGGCGGTACATGCTTCTACCTCATTAAGCGGGGAACATCCGCCCCTTCTGATCTGCGACGTCACGACGGACGGATAGCATCCCGACTACGGCGTTTGTGACTATATAGTGAATTCGCACACGACCCTACGAGAAC